TTCATAACATTGACACAATTAATTATGACATGATGATATCCTGGTAACTTTTTTTCTTTCAAACATATGCAGGTTTTAGCTTTCATCTATAAGGAAAGCAAAATATTAGAAAGCCTTCCTTCGGACCACTTAAAAAGTGCTCGTCGTACTTACAGAAGTTTCTCAATTGAGTCCAATAAGACGTCAAATTAGAATCAGCTTTTGATCGCTTGAGTAGGTACAATGTTAAGTTGGTTGATAGATTCCATGTTGGGATTTTTTGTGTTGAACCTTGTAAATTACTTGTATTGCTAACACCACATTGCTCGAGTTTGTCAAAGGTCAGATGATTACATTTGATATCAAAGTGAGACAATGGATAGAAGCATGTAAAATTTGATACAGCTGATATCGCTGGATTATGTAAAAGGACATTTTGAAACCAAGAGCATGTTTGTTACGCACCATTAGATAGTATTGCAGAACAAAACAACATATTAACTTCTTTTTTTCACTTTTTAATCCTATCCAATGCAGTTGAACCTGTTACAGTAGTATTGACAGTAGCATAAATATTCCAACTCGTAGATGTTGGGATATTGACGAGCATGGGCGGATTCAATGTTGGGCTGCATTTGGCTGCAGCCCACTGTCACCCAGGCCCAGATGCAACAAATTTTTTTTTTTTTTTTTGGTTTGAATTGTATTCAATTTAACCACATTAGCCCACCAACAAGTAAATTCAATGGGTAACCCACCTAAAAAAAATATTTAATCTGTAGCCCACTAATTTTATATAATTTTAGGCCCAATAATAATACTCATTAGTTAGTCCATTACCCATTTTCTTATTCTGATTCACATGTATAATCCCCTTTCTTTTCCATTCGGCCACTCCCGTTTTCCTTTGCAAAACCAATTCAAATAATTCCCAAAAATCAAAAATCAAAATCCCTAAATCTTTTCACTTTGCCCCTACTTGTAGTTGCGCCGAACGGAGCAGCCGATTGCCGACTTACTGCCGGTCTGTGCCCTACTGACTGCAGTGAATTATGGTGAGTCCGTGACCCTTTCTTCAAATTTGAATGTTAAATTGAATTTTGTATATTTTGAATAATTAGTTTTACTAAAGCCCTTTTTTTTTATATAGGATTCAAAGTAGAGTAATTTTTCGAGAATAATTATGTGTTTTATGTATAGCAATTTAAAGATTTCTTCAATTGTTCTTGCTAGTTTTTACTAGTAATAGGGTGATTGGTGAAAAAAATTGAGTAATCGCATCTAGATTTCTCCATAAAAATCCTGGTACAATGGATTGCATTTTCTTTTTTGAACTATTTTTTCTTGGTAAAATGCAGACATTTTCGTATCAAATTTGAAATATTATTGATCACTGGAGGTGGCTTGATGCTTAATATGATTATTTGAAACATATTGTCTTCTTTTAATTAGTTTTGGGATAAAGGTTGGTCTTTGACTTTATTTCATTTTAATTTACTGGATGATAAGATGCTTTTCAACTAAGATGCTTTTTGAAAGTTTAAAAGAGATTAATATTGATGTTAATTTTGCTCCTCGTAAGTTATTGTAAATGATCCGTTTCATTTTGGGTCTACTTCTAGATTATCAGCGAAGGGCGAAGAGTAGATTTGATACAGGATATGAGGTTTGAAACTACGACTACTAGAATTAAGGTGACCCTTGATGGCAAGTATCTAATAGCATGGTATCTAATTTTTAAAATTTTTAGCCCACCGTTAAAGGAATTCCTGGCTCCGCCCCTGTTGACGAGAGAGCTTTAAAGAAATTAATCTGTAGTAGGTTTTCGGTTTTAGGAGTACGGTGTGGTAGATAACTCCTTTCCTACTCTTATTTTTACATTGGTTGGCATTCGAACATTTAGGGCCCTTTGACCACATGAATATTGACTTTGCGCTGTACTAGTGCAAAAGGTATACTTATCCCAGGTGAGCCAAGAGGTTCAACAAAGAGAAGGCAAAAAAGGGCCACCAAGAATTTGAACACCAAACCTTTCTTCATTCCAGAGCCCGGGATTAAGGTATTACTCCACTCAGCTTCGTACACTTTTGAACTTGAGATTTACGATCAGTTTCCTTCTCGTTTTTGAGCTTGCTAATCTAATGATGGTTAGAAATCTATGCATAAAATAGGTATGTTTCCTTCATGCGTACTAGTTATATGTGTTATGAAACAAACGTGTCTGTCTTCATGTGCTAGTAAGTACGTCTACATGTAAGTTGTTATCCATTGTTCGTTTGTGTTATGAATCAAGCAAGTCTGTTTCATGTGCTAATATGTACGTCTTCGTGTAAGTTGTTATCCATTGTCTGTTTTTCAATGAAGAGTGCATGTTGAGGTTTTTGGTCCTTTTGCATGTGTTCTTTTCCATGTTTGCTTGATAAATGAAATCTGAAAAATGCGAAAGCAGTATACATATGGATCATGCTTTATGGTTAATCAGAAGCTATCATAGGCTAGTTTTGCAGTTTCCTAGACTTCAATCCAATTATAAATCTTTAGTTACAGTCCAACTTCTTTTCTCTAGCATGCCTTTAGAGACTGAGAACATACTAAACTCGAACCTTATGTGGACTTGTATCTGTGTGATCTCCCCATTTTGATGATTTCGTTTTCTTTCATCAATCACATTTTTCAAACTTCTTCAACTTCTTGTAAACCTTCACAACGTTTAAATTGGGGTATATTTTTATTTCCTGGGAGCAAATTCAAGTTTTTTAGGAATATACATGGTATTTTATTGTCTTTATGATAATCTTTCAAGTATTTCTGCAGTTTTTTGGGATTTTTATAGAAGTTTATTGACTTCCTGTGGCTATATTTCTGACATCTACAAGAAATATGAGCTTCTAAGAGTGAATAATACCGGAGCGAAGGTTTATTTTGGCACTTTTCCAGTCCTGAGTTTCTAAAATCAGTACGCTGGCCCTCATCTGTTAAGAGGGTGTACACAAAATCAGTCTTACAAACATGTTTTTTTAGCCTCTGGGAGAGGGAGGGGCGGACGAAGAAATTTTTAATTTGGAGGCACAATCAAACTATGTACAAATCGAATACTTTGTATTTGATTTTCACATGATTTATATTTAACCTGAGAAAATATAGATTTACATTTAAAAAATATTTCTTCATTAATATTTTGCTCATTATTTTCATCCATTTAATTTCAAGCAGTCGTTTTATTAATATTTTTCTCATAACAAGAAAATATATATTCATGTTTAAAAAATTTATAATTTATTTAATACAAACAATCAATTCTAGTGATCGAAATGAAAAATGTATAATTAATATTCAATCAAATAAATATAATTTGTTAAATATAAGTTAAATTGGATATGATCAGTTCAGTTACATTCTATGTATACAAATATAATAAGAGAAAATGTAAATTTATGTTCTAATTATTTGAAAATTTGATTGAAAGTGAAATTTTGTAGTAAATGTGAAAATTTGTAGAAAAATTATAAAAAAAAAAATTTTTAAATTAGAAGGGTTAAGATTTTCGTAAAAGGTATGAGGGAAAGTATAAGATAGAGTAAGAGAAAAAAGAAAAAATTCAAATTTATTGTGATTATGTCCTTATTTGGTGGGGTTAAAATCAAATTTTGTTATATTTTGATAAAAATTAAAGAGTTAAAGATTTCATGAAATATGTTATTAAAATTAATTATTAATTTTGATTTAGATTTCAATTGATATCAAACAGAACTTATCAAATAATAATAATAATAATAATAATAAACCCTCAAGAATTGGGGGTCACGCGATCCCTTAGGACCCCCATGGGGTCTGCTAGTGGGGAGAGCGTCTAGTCCCATTTCTATCACATTTTGATAGATTGGTCAGAATTTTTGTAATAAAATAATTGAAGCAATGCAGTGACATTTTGACTTTTAGTAGGGTAGAGTGCATTTTACCTATGTGATTATTTTACCCTCCACATTTATGGGAAAACGACATGATTGCCCTCAATGATTTTATACTTGGCCACCACCGAAGGGCAAAAATGACATTTGGCAAAGTGCAATCACATTTGAATTATCAATTACTGTGGGTGTGTAAGGTGTGACAAAAATGGGGCCCATTTCAATGGTCAAAAATCAATTGTTATTAAAAAGAAATGCTCCCAAATCCATTCTAGGTACAACTTTTTAGGGACATAAAAGTGGGTTTCACTTGTGTATCTGCATTAAGAACGTGCATAATTAATCAAGTTTGACACTAGTAGTGTGAGAACCCTAATCTAAGTAATCTTGGAAGCTATGGAATCATAATATTTTCGTGAGTTCGGAATTTTTGGGACTTTCAAGGTGCAATCACCATGACCCTCCTGCAATGTCGACAGTTTTTCTATTCCCAACCGACAAATATTCGTCCTTATCCCATTTCAATCGAGCTCTTTTAGAACCTTAGTCCTCACACGTCTACTTCAGCTGTCTACTCTCGAGTTATTGAGTTCCAGTTAAGAAAAGCTACTTCCGGCAATCTAAGCTAAGAAAATTGTCGTAATGATTTGCCAATAATCAAATTTTTCAACACAAAGCTTCTTAAAATACAATGAATCTAAGCACTATTATTAGACGATTACTTGAATGCTAGCTCAACAAGAAAGTTTAGCAGAGGTAATCATAATACAAGTTTCTGCAATGTAGAATGGCCTAAAGGACTTCATAAGGATATGAACTTCTTATAATGACATATAACAGATAAAATATATGATGTTTTACATGTGTAAAATTCATGGAATGACCTTTGTCGAGGCTCGATGTTGGGGACGATATTGATCGTGACCTTGAGCTGGCATTGCCTTCTTCCTGTGGCTCATAATTCTCAAACTTTGTCTTAAAATGTCAATCTCTCTTTCCCTCTTGCATTCTTGCTGCTTCATTGAATCTAACTTTGCTTGTAGAAGTGCACCTCTCTCTTCCTTCAGCTTCAGTTCTTCCTTCAGCTCCAACAATATTTCTTCTTCATTGCTTTTCCAACAAAGTCTTTCTTCTACAAAACAACAGAAAACAACTTATTTTTCCTAATAAATCTGAGGTCGGCTACATAAATCATTTCCGCTTCATTAGGTTCACTGCTAGTTCCGAGGAAATGAATGTTCCTGCTATTTACCTGGACTTAGAACCTACTATGAAAAAAAAGTCAAAATATTATTAGCTGATAGAAAAAATAAATAAATAAAATGCAGGATGCTTGAGCACCTAATCATACTTATGTGTAATATGATGATGATGATGCAATTGTGTACCTTGATGTGCCCTTTGAATAAGATCATCAAGCTCAACCTTGATTGCAAAATAAAGCTCTTTCCACTTCTCTACAGTCTCATCTCGCCGAGCTTGTTCCTCCTTGATATGCTTGAAAATTGAACTTTTGTCGAATATTTGCCATTCGTCGTTACAATTTTCACTCACCACGACACTTTTCTCCGTGCATCTCAGCCTCTCTTCTTTTCCTTCTAATCTCTTCCTCAACTTCTTTGCCTCGTCTTTCAATCTTCGCCTTTCCCTCCTCCACTCGGCTTGTTTAAATGCAAAAACCATCAACTCGTGCTCGTAAGCTTGATTCTCACTTTCTCTAATGCACATTATTTCATTCATCTCCCCTTGTAGAAGCCTCATCTTGTTTTTCAAGCCTTCCACTACTTTCTCACCAGGGCTGCAGCTTTTTTCCTTAGTTTGAAAACTGCCCATAATTTTGATTCTTCTACTGATTTCAAGAAAGTCACTAGATATGCAATAAGGGCGTCGATGCACAAGAAATTTTAAAGCTCGAATCCCTCAAGCAGAATTTGAACAATCTTTAGATCAATCTTGAAATTCTCGTGCCTATTTGAAAGACGCTCCCTCGTGCAACCGAGTACTATTGCAGCTACATTCTTATCACTACAATAGCTCATCCATTAATATGATCATTTAAGGTACTGTCGAAGATGCTCGTGAATGGGGGCCTCCATATTTCAGATGTTGACATGGTGTAACGCAAAATCAAGCATTAAAGGGACTTTATATCAAACAGTTGATAGGCAGGGGAAAGCAACATGCATTTCATTTAAGAGAAATTTGGAAGTATTTGCAGATTATTGACATTTATTGTAGCAGAATGGTCCTACAGATTATTCACAGAATATATGCATGGCGAATCGGTCAATTGATAAGGGCTTGAATGGGGTACCCTGAGACGTGAGACTTATCATCATCTTTCGGATTCTTTTCCAAAGTAATTCAATTTGGTTACTATTTGAAGAGAGAATTTCGGGAAAAAATATTTTTTGTTATTCGTAAAAAACTGTCTGTTTCTCTACTTCTAACATGACATTGTGACAAACGGGAATATTAGTAATAGAATTTTATTTTATTTTATTAGTAATAGAATTTTGCTAGTTGACAACCTCTTCACAGGCAAGGGGTCCATGATTTTTTCATTTGTCGTGGGCTACTTCGCATGTGTGTAATTGTCAATCTCGATTGTATATTTATTATGACTGTTAGTAATATGATCTGATAATATATTACTCAAGAAACGTCTTCACACATACAACTTAATGGAAGTCATCTTAGTAATGGGAAAAATTCATAATGAAGAAGTTAAATATCACCAATTTCAAAATTATAAATAAAGGTTTCAATTTTAAAAAATTAGATATTTATTAAAATTTATTTTTGATTTAATTAAGTATATATTTTATTAATTAAATATACTGAAGTCGCAAATATATACAATTTGATCACAAATTCAACGATTTAATTAATCTCATATTATTTTTGGTTATAAATCAGAATTTTTATATGTCAAAAATTAATTTATGGTTGTAATTCAAAAATTTTATATGTCATAATTTGTTCATTGGTCACAATCAAAAATTTATAAGTCACAATTTATTTATCAATCATAAATCACGAATATTATAGAGTTACAAATTATCAATTACAAATTAACAATTTTTTAGGTCACACATTATTTTTTTTATCACAATTTATCTTTATTGGTCACAAAACACCAACACCTCGCTCCACTGCCACCCCACCCAGGACCTCGCCATGACAGCCAACATCACAACCACCGCCTTACCGCCCCGCCAACACAAACTCACAATTTGAAACCCAGAAATAGAACCTAAAATATTGGCACCACAACCGCCGTCGCCGCCATCGCCATCGCCATCGCCATCGCATCACCATAACAACACCGTCTCATGAACTGAAAATTCTTAAACAAAAAAAAAAAAAAAACTCAGCACCAACATGCCACCCGCAACACCACCTCACAATCTAAAAACTCACAAACAAAAATAGAAACAAAAAATCGGGCACCACCTCGCCTCTACACCACCACCACCTCACAATCTGAAACCCACAAATAGAAACGAAAACAAAAACCTAAAAGCAAGCATACCAAAAATCACAATCACCATCTCCTCTATCACCACACCACGAAAAAAACCCCAAACCCGTGTCATCGACGCCGTTGCCACCCCCAAGACCACCTCAGATCCATCATATCGTTCACCAACGGCGTGCTCAGCGATTAGGTACAGCGGTGGTTCTGTAATGGAATGGGTATGTAAATTAATTTAATTTTATAATAATATTATTATTTTAAAAAATAAATTTTCATCTGATTTTTAAATAATGAAACATTGATCCCAACTTTTAGAAAATTGATTTTCAAAGTCGGTGGGATGTAATTTTCACTTTGGCAATTGTGTTTGCTACCTTGTTGGATAATTGGAGTTCCACGTGGCAACCTTCAGATGGTAGCTTGGTTTAGAAAAAGATTGTGCTAGTTGAGAGAAATCTGGATCGTTCATTAATCCTTTGCAAATATGACCCTTGGCCTAACAAACGATTTGTTTGGTTTTTGAGGGTTTTTGCTTAAGTTTCTATGGCGTTTGCAAAATGTATACTTTGCAAGTTTTTTAAACATATTGAACACCGTCTCTTTACTAGCCAATTTTGAGAATGATTTCTACGTGAAAGTGGTTGTTATAACATTCTTGGGAGACCCTTGTTATGCAAACACGACGACCTATCGAGAGTTACTTCCAACATTCACTCAGCTAGAAAAATGGGTGGTTGTCATGGATGTTAACTTTGAAGATGGTGGACTATAATGATCTAATTGTATTTAACCTAGATTGTTAATATGTTTCATGAATTTGTAAACACTTTGGACATTTTCCACTAATGAGTCAGTTTTATAGGTGAGTTTTACCTAGGAACGTAAATTTGGCTCACTAATCTGGAAGGCCTGTAGCCCAACTCGGTTTGAGAAAAGCCAGAGCCAACCTGGCTCATGGCTTGAAGAAACTGAGCCCCATTTTGGGGCATCGGCTCGAGCTCGATCAGCTCATGAGTTGAGCCTTAGATGAGAAAAAAAAATCTGCCTTAGATGAGAAAAACCAAATGGATTTTACTAGTGACGGATTAATAGTAATAAAATTTAGATAGATTTTACTAATGATAAGATTAGTTAGTTTTAGGGTAGTTCAAGTATTCCAACCGGCTATTGTGCATCTCAAAATGTTCCAATTGATTTGGAGGATATCGAAGAGGAAAAAGTACTTGAGACTAAAAGATCGAAAAAAAGAGCGTTGTAACTTTTATTTAATTTATAATTCGTATAAATTGCACAAATTTTAAATTCTTTAAAGATATGTTAGAATTATTACAAATTTAAAAAAAAAAAAAAAAAAAAAAACTTGCTCTGCTCGGCTCGACCTGGCTTGACTCAATAAAGCCTTAACTGAAGCTCAGTTCGAGCCTTGATCTTTTGGCCGAGCAAAAGCCCAGCTCGGCTCGAGCAAAAAAAAGAAAAAAAAAAAGCTGAACCATTTTTTCTCTAGTCAAGCCCGAGCTTCAAATTTCAACTCATCGATTCGACTCATTGACATCCCTAGTTTTACCCAAAGTTGAAGTAAATAAGAAAAGAATAAGCACATACCATAAAATCATATCATATCGACTCGATCGAGTATACATTTTTCAATAAAGGCATTATGTTAAATAAGAAAGATTTTTTCTTGACAAAAAATTCAAAACAAGGAATATTTTCAGCTCCCAGAATATATTGTAATGTCGGATCTGTTCTACTTGAAATCAAATGGGTGGTAGCTTTTGTTATCTCATCGAAATTTTGAGTTTAGCTTCTTCTTCTTTTTGTGGGTGAAAATGCATTTCATCTAAATTTTGAGTCTAATGCATCTAATGGAGTAAATTATTTTCAGATTCAAATTATTTCAACAAAATTACTCTCATTGGATTCTCCAAAAATATAATAATTAAGAAAACCTAAATTAATAGTACATAGTAACAATAATTGATTAGCATTTCCAAAACAGGGTATCAGAGAACAGACTCAATTATTTGAAAATCGCAATAATGGTAAAACTCTGTTCCTGGGTCTATCGTCCGAATATAGACAAAGGAAAAGTGAAACAAAATTCTTCTGTTGCTATATTTCCATATTAACACTATTCATCATTAAAGATGTCAGTTGGAGCGCACTACCAATTAGATGAGTGGTGAAAACTACTGACGATAAATAGTATTATTCATAATCCTAAGTCCTAACATTATCGTCTGAGGTGGAACTCTATATACGAACGTAAGGGCGGACGTAGAATTATAGCTTAGTGAGGGCGAAACAGAAAATGGGTTAAAATAAATTATGAAAAAAATCAGAAAATTTAAATTTAATAAGGTCCAATTGAAGATTTTTGAAAATTCAGTGGAGGCGATCGACAGCACTCGTCCCTTAGCGGGTCCGCCCCTGTACGAACATGTACGGTAAATTTGCACAAAAGAAGTGTAAAATGAATTGAATTGATGAGTAATAATTATGCTTCCGTCGTTGCCCTTTGAAGAAAGGTAATTAAGAAAGAAAAATTTTGAAGAAGTTTTAGCTTGGATTTTTTTAGCATGCACGCTATTTAGCTGCCCCAAGAAGAAGGAGCGACTGTAATAATCTATTTTGATTTTGCTTTCTAAGTTACTCGTATTTTGGAGTAATTGATATTCAGAAATATGTGGTTCAAAATTTAACTTTAAATTATTTTTATAACTTATGGTGGTGGAGAATTAGGTCAGAAGGGAAAAAAAAAAAATAGTATTCTAATTATGATTTTTTTAACAAGATTGGCAGATTACAAGTCGATTATTTATGACGACTTTTTGTCACGCTCAATTCTAGTAACAAAAATTTTCATCGAGATAAGTCAAGCATGAATTTTTGTAATGATCTAATTGTATACATCGCTCGTGAAATGCTTATTTAAAAGAACCCAAAACTCTATGAGTTTTACTTCGATCTAACTTCCAATTGGTTATATAAGGATTATTAAAAAGAGAAAGTTAAACTGAAAAATAACTTTAAGTTTTCTTTTCACAACTTAGGTCATCATTTCTTGACAAATCAAGTATTTTATTCATGAAACTGTCTAATTTAAATTTATTTTAATTTTTTTATCGTATGATTTAATTAATTCAAATATTACCTAATTTCATTTTCAAAAATAAAAATTCCAAAAATTAAGGGTTTAAATTGGTTACATACTTATAAGTGCCATTAAGGGAATTATGTAATGCCCCAAATTCTAGCAAGTCGACGAGTTACCAAACATGAATTTATTAAAGTGCTTAAAACAAAATAATTTTAATATAACAAGAAATTCAATAAAAATCGACAGATAAATAAAAAAATAAATTAAAATATGTGGAACATTTTGGAATCATATCATGCAACAAAATATTTATAAAAACTAGTTTTTAACATGCAATTGAAACGAGACTAATTGAAATAATAATGTTACTCACAATTGAGGCTAAATCTAAAAAAATTATCAAATGCTATTAAAAATTCTAATTTTCATAAAAATTAAAGTATTTCAAAACAAGGATCCATTGGTCCAATAGCATATCCATCCATCACTATCCAACATGCTAATTTTTATAAAAAAAAATTGTATATAAGGAGGGATGAATATAACAAATTATACTTAATGAAATGCTTGATACTTCACATTCAAATAAAACATGAAATTATGCTAAATTCTCTTACCAACGTAAAATGAGAATTATCATACAACGACAAATAATAATTCTAGCAAACGCTGTAAAATAACTTGAAGGTTAACTAATGCTTGTAGTTATGCCTTAAAATGTATCATGATTTTCCTCGTAAGAGCGCTGGACTAAAG